TATATATATACTTAATACACACACACACACACACACACACATTAGTCGAAAATAAGCAGACCCCGATCCTGAAAACCTCTCTGAGCCAAAGTATGAGCACTGGAATTACAACTCCTGTTCACAAAGGAAAAAGAAATAGAAAAAGTCGCAGCCACATTCAAAATATCCTTTAGCAGGGATTTCACAATAGTAGGAACCTTAGAGAAGCCTTTCTGAAAGGCATTTACAATCTCCTGGAAGTCATAATCAAGAACACAAAAAGAGAAGCCCGCTACCTTTGCCAAGTCTAAACCTTGCCTAACCGAAATAGCTTCAGCCTGAAGAGATGAAGCCACAAAAGCAGGTCCATAGCAGGCTGCCATGCAAAATCTAGTATGATCTCTGATAACAGCACCAAAACTTCCTAAACTAGGTTGTCTGAAACCTCCATCCACATTTATCTTAAAAACACCTACACAGGGAGGCACCCAAAAAGTTTTGCAGCTCCGGTTTGTATCAGATACACTCATACCTTCTAAGAAGTTCTTCGAAATCTCTATCATGAATAGCAATTGCTTGCAAACATCTGAAAGGATAAGATTCACATTGAAACTTTAATTACCAAAAATAACTTTGTTTCTGGCTTTCTAAATGAACCAAAGTAGATAGGCTGTGTTTTGGAGTAGAAAAGTTGAGTATTCTTTTGAAACTTTACAGGACTGGATCCATCCAACAAACCAGTCAGTGAAGGTTATACTTGGAGGATAAACCTCCATTCTTGCATTGAAACAGCTCCCAAACCACACCTTCCTTATCTCCTCACAAGAACACAGTGCATGAAAGATAGTCTTAAGTTCTTTACCACAAAGTCTGCAATTCTCAAAGTTGATAATTTTCCTGTGGACCAGATTTGAACTAACTGGAAGAGCGTTCCTATAGCATTTCTAAAGGAAAGATTTTATCTTCGGTTCCACTGGTAATTTCCAAATTGTTTGCCAAAGAGTGCTTCTTGGCACAAGGTTATTACCATTGTTTTTTGAGACCTGATTTTGTTTTTCCAAAAAATAGGCCGACCTGACACTGACCGGAATCCAAGCTAAGACATCATCCCACTCACCCCTAGCTAAGGTGATCTTTTCAATTTGGTCAGCAATAATCCCACTAAAGCAACCCCGGATTACTTTAGTATTCCATCTCCTATTCTCATAATCAATAAATTCATTGACAAACTGAGGAGTACCTGGTCCAGGATTTGGCCCCATAACCTTAAAGCCCTCCACCCCAAGCAGCCAGTTATCAATCCAAATGGAAACATCACTACCTATGTTGACTAACCAACAAGCCCCTCTTAACACTAGTTCTCTTCCTGCCAAAATGCTCTTGTTGGGCAGCTTGTTTCTAATAAAATTTTTATTTCTGAAATATTTATTTTGAATTACTTGTGCCCACAAACTATTCTCTTTATTTGCAAGCCTCCAGGTTAACTTGGCTAAGAGAGCCGCATTGAAACAATGAGGATCCCCGAAGCCATGGCCACCATTGCCTTTGTTTTATGTTAAGGACTCCCAAGAAAGCCAATGAATCTTGATTTTCTCATTTGAATTTTTCCCCCACTAGAAGGACCTCTAAAGCTTGTTAATTTCATTAAAAATTTTCTTTGGGAGAAGAAAACAAGACATGGAG